AGGTATTCTTCCAACGTCTCCAAATGGTACAGCCACCAACAAAATTAATTTATTCAACACAATGACGACTACGTGGGCCACACCATATGTAGTATCTGTAGCATTTATATTATTTATCGAATATTCTTACAATTTTTTCATAGTTCTAAGTACCAGCTGAGCTCACAGCCTTCTAGAGAATCTTGAGGCATTAAGATCCAGGAATCATTCATTACCAACTACAGTTATAAGAGAAATCAAAAGTCAATGTACAGAAAGTAGAAAAGGCGCGGTCGCCAATGGGTTAGCAATAAACATACAACAAGAGAGAAAGTTGCAAAGTCAACAATCAGTTGGTCCACCATTGCTTCGAATTACTTTGAAAATACGGTGGTCTAGGCTCAGATAAAAACTATCAACCAGCTCTTGGTCAACTTGGTGCCATGTTTCAATGAACGCTTTTTTAAACTCCTTGGCGCCTCGGAATTGCTTGTTCTAAGCCTAAATCTTCCGCACCATGAAGCCCCACACATTTTCCCTTGGATTCAAATCGGGGCTGTTCGCCAGCCAGTCCAGAAATGCAATCCGATGCCGAGAGAACCGCGTTTGGGTGCTCCTGATCACCTGAACTGGGGTGTTAGCTTGCATAAAAACAAGATTTCGGTACCAATTCTGTTGCCACAAAGGGAGAAGTGCACGGCGCATAACCGTTCAATAAAAGGATGAGAGTCTGAGTATGATGAAAGGCCTTCGATCAAGAGGCCACGTCGCATGTGATCTTCAGTCCTTTGAGCCGTCTAGAAAAGTCTAGAAAACGACAGGCAAGGCAGTCGACTCCCTGCGTGGCACACGGCCACTCGTGTGCCTCGCAAGGAGTCGACTGCCTTGCCTGTCGTTCTCTCACCCCCTCAGCACGACAGGAGCCCCCCCCCCCCTTCCACGTAGTCACGAAGAAACCTATTTTTCTAACCAGAGGTCACGTGTTTTGTATTCATTTTTAATCATAAACTGTTATTACTCTTGACGCATTGTGCTGTGTTACTGTACGGTCCAAGAACCGATCCAATGTATCCACCACAACAGTTCATCTTTTTTGGTACAAGACATGAGAGGATACGAATACTCGATGAAATTGCGGCCCAAGATATGACTCCTCCCCCCTCGAATTTCTGTCTAGAAAACTAAAGTTTTTCTTTTTTCAGGCCGTGCCAGTAAACTCGGTCGCCGTCTGGACCATCACAATTGAAAACTTTTTTGATCGGAATGACGACCTGAAGAATAAAAACCATCAAGAGAAGGAAGGACAAATGTCAGCACATGAAGAACACCTTATTCCACTCGGGTCGGGCACCTTTGGGGGAAGCCACCCGATTTTCTCGATGTCTTTTTGCCACAAAGCGCGCCTTACGAACCTTCGCTTGACGATAAACTCGGACTTCCTGATCACCTTCCAAACAGTGTTTTTTAGACAATGAGGTTCAGAGACGATCGGATTTCCAGACAGGACTTGGTCGAGTTTGACGCCTCCCTCAAAATACGGCGCTTGCCTCTCTCGGACTGTAGGGAAGAACGTCCAGCAATTCATCTGGATCCATAGGCTTCAGGATTCTTGATGAAATTATCTACAACTGCGTGATATCGACCCGAATCTCGTGCGATTCTGTGATTCGACAGTCCCTGCTCCTTCTTCGCGAGAGTTCCACCTCCAACGGATTCTGAAAGCAACTTTTCACTCCCCATTGCCTAAAAATGAAGAATACTACATAAAGAAAGCATTCTCTTTGCGTTGAACTGAAACACGATACGAAGATATGAAGTGGCTGTATCACTTGGAGACGTTGGAAAAGCACCCTTCATTGAAATATTGACCAAAAAATGCTTGTGTTTCCGAGCTGGAATTTGGTGGTAATGTGCGAATTGCAATTCAGATTCGACACATTTTTCACTTTGGCACTTTTTCGGAAACATTGTATACTGTGAGTTTTTGGGAAAACTAGATGTGGCTGTATCATTTGGAGACGCACTGTATGTATGTTTCTGTCACTTTGTACAATGTAATACAGATTTCACCTGCCCTCGTAGCAGTGAGTTCAACGTACACTCAGTGATTGCGAATGTTGCA